GTCCAGGCGGGGCTGGAATATCTCCAGAGAAGGAGACTCCACAGCCTCCCTGGGCAGCCTGGGCCAGGGCTCCGTCACCCTCAGAGGGAAGAAGTTCTTCCTCATGTTCAGACAGAACTTCCTCTGCTTCAGTTTGTGCCCGTGGCCCCTTGTCCTGTCACTGGGCACCACTGGAAAGAGCTTGGCCCCATCCTCCTGACACCCACCCTGCAGATATCTGTAAGTATATATTAGGTCCCTTCTCAGCCTTCTCTTCTTCTGGCTGAACAAGCCCAGCTACATTTCCTGAGGGAATGGCTTCAAGAAGCAACCCTGGTAGGTCACTGAAGAAGATCATGAATGAGAAAAAAATTCACAGTTCGGGGTAATTGCCAGATGAATCTTCCCAGCAGATGGAAGGAGAGCAGACTGTGCAAATTACTCCAGCCCAGGTCTGCGAAAGTGTTGTGAGCCTAGGGTAAAATTCAGGGTGACAAAGAAATTTGAGATGTCTCAGTTCTGGGGAGCAGAAACGCTCTGGTCAGAACAGCTGCGTTCCCCTCTCAACACTCCCAGTCATTTTCCAGGTCGCTGGGAGCTGGTCAGCCCCTCGGTTTTACCATTTGCAAAACACATTAAGTACTTTTCACCATTAGCCAGGTGTGAAGCATAACGAATTGGTGTTTGCAAAGAGTTTGAATACCTTCACACAGCAGGTAGCATGAACGTCCAAAATACTGCTCATGAAGACCATCGCTTGCACCGGGACTAGAACACGTGTTATGATGGGATTTTATAGAAGAAGATTGTCCTGCGTTGATGTCTTCTATTGATTTTTCCAATGCCACTGTACAGTTACTACAAATATATATATATACACAAATGTATATACACTGTATATATATATACAAATGTAAATACACTGTACAGTTACTACAAATATATATATACACACACAAATATATATATTTGGATATCCAAAAGGATATTTTCTTTTCTTGCGAAGACTTCACTACTTACACATTCACTACATTGCTGACAAATATAAATACATTTCTTTTTATTTGGGACTGCCTCCTGAGTCATCAGATCCCTTCCTTCTCTAATTCCATTCCTCTCCCTGCTCACACGACTCTCCAAGGCAGACAGTGTTTTCTTCGGGAACTGAAACGGATGCAGCTTCCATGAGGTCTGTGGCCTTGTGAATCAGCTGGCACGACGAACTACAAAACCGCTGCTCTGAGAGGCCTTCCAAGAGCCCTGTGCCCGTTCCATCGTGCAGAGCAGTTTCTCTGGGCTTCAGAGATGGCAGAGTGGGCACCAAGGCTCTCGCGGCGCAGCAGAAAAGGCGTTAGTCATAGACACAACTTTTTAACAACCAACGTCAGTCGCTCGTTCACGCAGATCTCTAGATGCAAAGCTTTTGTAGAATACGTCCTCTCCAGAATCTCCAGTGCAATGAGTAAAATGCAGGAAGGCAGAAAGCAACAGCTGTCCGGTCACGATAAACCACCTAAATTTACCAGCACAACATTTTAATGGGGTCCCAGCAGTCATCATCACACACTACGAGACAGGCAGGCACCGTCCTCTGGAGTGCTTGGCAAGGCTGAATTTCAAGACTCGCATGACGATCCCCGTTGACACATCCTAAGCCTCCACAAAGCAATCCAACGAAACCGAGCAGCGAACCAACAGAGCAGATCACGGTTTCAGCTCTGCCGTCTGCGTCAAAGACTTAGCTGGTGGGAAATGAAGGGTTACTGTCGTGGACAGTAAAACTCCCACTGAAGAATAATTAATAAAATAATAACGTAATGAATTAATAGGTCAAGACCAGAACTTAGTCTTTTTCAGATAAGCTTGTTTTGATACACAGACCGGACGAGATCATTTGGTCACTCTTCTGATGGCTAGGTTGCAGGCCACGTTATCACTTTTTTCCTAATATATTTTGATCAAATTTTTAGATATGAAAATTACGCTGTCACATTCACTTCCTACCTACGTATATTCCACCAACTGGTATATTTTCTTTGCCTATTATGCATACAAATATATGTATTTTGTGATACTGTATACATCGTACTGCAAATTACTTAGAGAGAAATGCCAATAGATTAGTTGGATACCATTTAATTCTCTTCAGCTTTGCAGACTGGCAGAAAACCAGCTTCCCTAAGAGAACACACAACTGACAGACCAAGGAAAAAAGGAGAAATGAGCAGAGCGAAACACAGCATCAGAAAATCCTCCCGCACTTCCAGTGTATGGAACTACTCTTTTTCTGCCCCAATCAGTTAACTGTTCAAAACAAAAAAAGATTGAACTGATGAGAGCTATTTTTCTCTAAGAAGCCTGATAGCACTCAAAAGCTTAAAGCATGAGCTTACAGTTAAAAAGATCTTACTCTCCTTAACTGATCTCCTTTTAGATGGATTTTTATCTTTTCTAATTCTGATAATTGAATCCCTGGGGGAGAGGATGGAGAGAGAGATGGAGGGGAGGAAAAAAAAAGAAAGCCTAGCAGAAAACAGGAGGGAAGGAGCCAAGCTCATTCTCAGGTGAAAGAAAAACAACCTGTACACCAAATGCACCATCATTTAACTGGAGACAGAGCGAGCAGGCACAGCTATCCTCCGAAACTAAATGTACGATAAAAAAAAATTACTGGCATATATTTATTTTATGAGATATAACCTATTGATCTGCCTGAATAAACATATACGGTTCAGAAATGCTGAGCATCTGCAAACGGATTTGTGGCTGTAGGAGATCCGGATATTCCACTCCTTTTAAATTCAGGTAATAAATTACAATACTTACTCAGATTAACTGCTGCCAACCGGCTAGATCAGTGATGCCGGCCCTCCCCACCCCAAATTCTCACTGGTTTCTTCATTGCTTCCTAAGGTAGCACCAGTTGTCTACCTGAGGTAAACCAAACGTAAGCCTACTCCACGGATTGCGGTATGTAGTGCAACACCTAGTGACCTAACATAGCTTCCACAGTGCATGACATGGAGCTGCACTAGAAGAGCAGGTTGCTGGGTTCACGTGTGCCTCTGCCCGGTTGTGCTGGGGAGCCGCGATGCCTCCGTCATCCGACCAGATCCCCGTGGGAGCAACCATGCGTGGTGGCTGGGCTCAAGGGACAGCACTGTGCTTGGTAACACAATGCTGGGAATAACTGCTTCAAAAATCCAACAGCTTTCATAGAGCTTTTAAAAAACCACAGTGTCGCAAGCCAACTTCTCCTTGGTTTTCCCTTCATCCTCCTCAGCAGCAACGGCACCACAGACTGAAGAGGCTGGGTGGGGCAGGAGGGAGCAGGTTAGCACTCGAACACCTAATTTTGGGTGGCTGGCATGAGGAGGGTTCAATACCTCTCTGAAAAACTCTCCTGACACTGGATCCCAGCATCAAATACCACAGCAATCGGGAGGATGTTACTGGGTCCTCTCATAATGGGACATGGTTTAGCAGCCATGGTGGTGTTGGGTTGACGGTTCAGCTTGATGATCTTAGAGGTCTTTTCCAACCTTAAAGATTCTATTATTCGTCAAACCATCAACCCGTCACTGCCACGCCCGCTAAACCATATCCCAAAATGCCACATCCACATTTTTTTTGAACCCTTCCAGGGATGGGGATTCCACCACTGCCCTGGGCAGCCTGGTCCAGTGCCTGACCACTCTTTCAGTGAAGACATTTTTCCCAATATCCAATCTAAACCTCCTCTGACACAACTTGAGGCCATTACCTCTTTTCCTATCACTGGTTACTTGGGAGAAGAGACCAACCCCCGCCTCACTACACCCTCCTGGTCAGGGAGCTGTAGAGAGCGAGAAGGTCCCCCCTCAGCCTCCTCTTCTCCAGACTGAGCAGCCCCAGCTCCCTCAGCCGCTCCTCATCAGACTTGTTCTCCAGACCCCTCCCCAGCCTCGCTGCCCTGCTCTGGACATGCTCCAGCCCCTCAGTGTCCTTCTGGTAGTGGGGAGCCCAGAACTGAACACAGTATGATTCTATGATTCTATGATAAGCCAGGCAGCTCCACTGTTGTCAGGTATCTCCTCTCACAGAGCTCTGCTTGGGAAGTGCTTTCCAGGGCCTCACTTATTTAGCAGTTGGGAGCTTTCTTCTACTTTGCAGGCTATGCTTCACATTGAGTGAAATTTGCTCCGGGGGCAACGTGACTCTTTGTCTGAAACAGCTCCTTTCTCCCTGTGGTGTTTTTCCCTGTTACATATTCATAGCTACTATATCTTCTTTGGACCATTATCGGACTAATAAGCGTCTTCAATTAACGAATTTCCCCTGCAACACTGTATCAAATACTTTATTATAATGGAGGCACATAAGATCCACTTAATTTACTTTGTTTAGAAAAAGATGGCTATCTCATCAAGTGAAATATCAGATAAATCTAGCATGGCTGATTTTTGGTAAATTCATGTTGCATTTTAATTAACTTTTCATTGATTTCTACATGTAAAAAATGAATTAGCACAGTTTCTCATATTGATTCCATTTAAACTACCCCCAGAATAGCTTGCAGGACTCTCAAAGGTTAAGCAACAGTGAGGAAAAACTGCAACTTTTGTGTAGTTAATCCCACACAAAGACATGTAGGAAAAAAGATGAATTCCTAACTATTCCTCAGTTCCAATGGATACGTTTGTCCATTTCTGGTGATTGCCCCCTGTGAAGAGCAGTCATTTTAAAACTGTCTCACCTACATAATTTTAAAACCAGCTTCAGCATGCACCCAGGACAAAGCAAACATCCGTAACTAGTCATAATCAAGACACAGGAAAATGGTACAGAAGAAGAAAGGAGGATGACATGAGTGCCTGTATGTATTTGTTTTCTTTTCCCACCAGGAAAAAAGAGAGGTTTTTGAGTGACAGTCTCCCATCAGCTCATAAGTCTACAGAAAATCCACCACCAATCCAAAAACTACCTGAATCTCATTAGTGGAATGGGAGTCAGAGATGCTGATGTGAAGAAGACAGATGAACGGCAAAAGAACCACTGAGGTCCTCCAAAAAATTCAGTGTCCTCTAAAATATGTCCTTTTTAATCTGTATTTTGCAAAAAAAAAAGACTAAATTTCTGAGTTTCGCTATGAGGATGTCCCTAATGTCTGAAAATCGCTGCGCAGGGAATTGTTTCCTAACAGAAGCCACGTTAGTACCTACGCAGAGGTTTCTTCTGGAAAGCTTATGCTCTTCTGAGCTTGGCCTGCCCTCCTTCTGTGCAGCAGAAATGTTCATGGCTCACGGTAACCAACCGAGACAGCAAAGGACTGTGAGAAGGAAGAGAAGGAATCTGGGGCCACATGCTACCTCCTGTACTGCCAGGAGCAGCTGGTTCCCTATCGCTGCTGCAACGAAAACGATCCAGCAATCATCACACACCTACTTTTCTATCAACCCTTGATTGCTGAAAGCAGTGCAATTTATCTGAGGGATCTGCTCACTCCTCCAGCCACCCCTCCAACAAACCAACCCGCCTTCTCCCTTACCATGAGCACACCAAAAGACCACCAGTCAGCACTCTGCGTGTGTCCTCGTCGGTTGACCACCTCCGGGGCCATGTACTCTATCGTCCCACAGAACGAATACGCTCTCTTGTCATGGTCGATGGCTTCTTTACTCAGACCAAAATCTAAATAAATGGAAACAAAAAAGACTTGTCAGGACTTATTTACATTTTCGTCACTTGAACTGCTCAAACAAAACACACCAACCAGCCGATGGAGAAACGCCACCGGCATGGGTGTGCTGAAGCCCTGCCTGCGTGGAGTGCCTGGCCGGGATTTGTTAATCTGCCCTGAAACCAGGCGCATCGTTCTCTCTGTTCGTAACCAGGTTCTGGCCCAAAGCAGAAGGGAGAGTTTATAAATATCTTAAGGGCTTATAAATATCTTCAGGGTGGGTGTCAGGAGGACGGGGCCAGACTCTTTCCAGTGGTGCCCAGCGACAGGACAAGGGGCAACAGGCACAAACTGAGGCATAGGAAGTTCTGTCTGAAGATGAGGAAGAACCTCTTCACTCTGAGGGTGACGGAGCCCTGGCCCAGGCTGCCCAGAGGGGCTGTGGAGTCTCCTTCCCTGGAGATATTGAAGACCCGCCTGGACGCGGTGCTGTGCAGCCTGCTGCGGGTGACCCGTCTTGGGCAGGGGTGACCCACAGAGGTCCCTTCCAACCCCGAACATTCTGTGAGAGTTTAAATAAGCAGAAATCACAGTTCAGATCTGGTGAAGACCATGCTGGCAAGGATTCTTGCTCAGCTAACCAAAGCATTAGGAATAATAATCCCGGATGGACACTAGTGACAAGGACAGTCAGACAGCACCTGCCGGGTGGCAAAGGAAAGTCTTTCCAGGTGTCCTGTGCACAGCGATAATTCAGGGAATTTGATGTGGAGTAAGCAGAAGCAGTCACACTGGAAGCATCCTTCCACCCAGGGCAGTGGGCAGCCAAGCCTGCACACTTCACATCACTCAGAAGTAGGATTTTACCAAGCAAACGTATGTTCTCCACGTGGTGTGCAGCATGGGTTCTTGATGAATTCCCAGAGAAGAGGAGCCCAACCCTCAAACTCTTCTGGCTTCTGAGTTCTTACAGGCAAACTCTTTCCAAGCAAAGATCAAAACACATGGTACATACTGTAGGAAAAAAACAGCTTGCATACTTTAAGTTTTCCCTTCCTCACATACCTGTTATCTTAATGTGGCCCTCTTCATCAAGAAGAATGCTGTAAAGCAAAAAAGGCAAACATTCACTCATTAGGCAGACACAGAGTGCAGTCAACAAGCATGAATAAAACATGGTTAAGGTAAGGAGATACACAAGACTCAAATACATGTATAAATAAACCCTCGGGGGGATTATGTGCTGCCAGAAAGAAAAATGATCCTCGAAGGTCTGTCCAACCTCAAGTCTGACGCATGCACGGCCGGCGGCACGCGCGCGGGGAGCCTCCTTGCTCCATGGCATGCTCCGGGTGGGCACGCAAACGTTGCTGAGAAAGAATGTGGTGTTCAAAGGCAGCAACGGCAGAGTATCTGCTCCCAGGAGGAGAACGAGCTCCAGGTTTTCTGCTGTTCTCATAATAATAAAGGCAAGCGTACAAATAATCAAGGTTTGGACTCGCTGGACCTAAAATTAACTCCAAAGGTGGATACGTTCATGCTGAAACAATAAATGCAATTGCAGAGCACAATGACGAGTCACAGCCTCGCGGCACAGATCTCAGGCCCTGCTGATTTATTCTGTCCGGAAGCATAAATGAAAATTCAGCCTGGAAGCCAAGCTCAAGTGTTCTCACGTTTGCCACCTGCCAAGATATTCTCTCCTCACAAAGGCACTGCAACATTTCTGTGAGAACATTGACTGCAGCTCGCAAAAAAACCCAAAAAGCACTGCTAGTTTTTGTGGAAACAGGAAGGAACGCTGAAAAGTAATGATTTGGATAACTTTTCTGCCTATAAATACCGACACAGTTATGAGGGTTGTGTTCCTTCAGGCCTCGCTAGATTTAGTGCACTTCTCTTTTCAAAATGGTCTAGTGAGGGTCTTACCAATCTCGGCTATTTTTATATTCCCCTTCTCTCAGAGAGTCCCTTTAATCCGTTTATTCAGGAAGAAAACAAGACAGAAGCGAAACCAACACATCGGGCTATACTTTTGTGAAAGGTTGTCTCTGTACTGAAACATAATTGAAAAGAGATGCTCTGCTGTCACTCACTCGTAGAACAGCCTGTTGTTGTCCAATTCATCAAATAAAGGCCAGCACCTGAGTCACTACTAAGTGTTCAATAACTAAAGCTTTTTCTCCTCGATAAAAGCTTCTTTACCTCTATTCTTCCTCCCCAGATTTCTTCAAGAGGCGTAATTTTAAAGTACTAGCCTAAAACAGGCACGTTTAAATGTATTTTTTGTGACTACAATCCCTAAACTAGAGGCTTTTTCTTCAGAAGGGAACGGAACAAAACACCTGCCAGCGCGGAAGCGAGCGTGCGCGTACGGACTCCACAGACCCGGCTCTGGAAAACCAGCAACGGGGAGTCCAGCTTCCAGAAATCACCCCAAATTTTGCCCCCCACCCAGGAAGGCCCTGTGAATAATGATGCAATTCAAAGCGGGTGGGGTTTCCCCCAAAACTTCGATTTCCTATTGAAAATCCACGCTGGTTTTCTGTGTATACAATATACGTATTTCATTCCTTCGCCCTCATTAGCGGGCTCGCACCCTGCCCTCGTTAAAGGGATGGAGGCCATACCACCACAGCTCTCAGACTGATAACACGGCCTTGGGTTTGGTGAGCCTGGCGCACGGAACAGACTTCCTCACGCTGAATGTTTGTATGAGCAGAATCACAGAATGGTCGGGGTTGGAAGGGACCTCTGTGGGTCGTCTAGTCCAACCCTCCTG